TTCAAAGTAGTTATTGTAATGTATCTGAGTTGTTAATATGTCATAATTTTCTATATAGCATATAAATCAATATTCAAAGTATACTTTTCTTATCAGGATATTAACGTAAAATCGTAACTTATTACTCAATAATAATTTACCCCCCTTTTCTTATCAAGATATTAACGTAAAATCGTAACTTATTACTCAATAATAATTTACCCCTTTGTCTCTCGTATTATTCAACATTAGCCTATTTCAGAATAATTAATTCACGAGCAAAATCTAATCAAATTCTTATCTTTATATTCAATTTCTTTCATTTTCATAATTCTATTTGTGCATTTTCCCTTTCATTCTTTCTGCCTCCATTTTCACAGTTACATCTCATTTTCGGCATTTGCTCTTAAATTTTCATTTGCTCAATTCTCATCTTTTGCCCAGTTTCATTCCCCGTCATATTGTCTGTTTTCACACTTTTATCTTTTTATCACATTTCTGGAATTCTACTCCTTAGTTTAATGGACTGGATAAACGGGGTGTTCTCATCTTTGGTACTGTCCACTCGGTGGCTACGGACCATCAGAGAACTATTTTGGCACTGACCACTCGGTGGCTCTGGCCGAGGTTCGTTTGGGTACTGTCCACTCGGTGGCTACGGACCCGTAAACGAACATATTTGGGTACTGTCCACTCGGTGGCTACGGACCCGTATAGGAGCGCGCGTGTATCAAATATCAAGATTTGGGTGCTGTCCACTCGGTGGCTACGGACCCAAAATCATTGATCAAATTCTACGGCCGTGTTTTTATCCCTATTGGCATGCCAATCTATCCGATTCCAGAAACAAGGTTTCGAATTCCATTTATCCCATTAAATTCCCTCTGTATCATTGCTATTGTCATTAATATTGTTTTCCGAATGAAAATAATATCATTATAATCAACTTATTATATCCTCACTTATAACATATTGATGTTTAGATTGGGTTTATATATGTACGTACGTACTTATTCATTTTCAACTACATATATATCTCTATACATATATCATGGATTTGTGTAAGTGTAATCCTTCTTTTTTTTCTTTTGAATTGACTTTATAATTATAAGTCTCACTTTAATCTTTAGCGATATAATCCGAATTATCTATCTATACGTATGCATAAAAATATAGTCATTAAATAAATCTGAGTTCACCTTATTATATTCTATATTTAAATCTTGAATTTATAATCTTACGTATGTTTGTTTTGAATTTAAGTATTTAACTATGTATCTTCAATTTTCGAATTCTTTCGTAATTATAATACAATCACGTGCTTTGATTTCTGCATTAATTAATATAAATATATATATATAATCGAATTCTACATTAAATAATATAAATGTATAATAACAATAAATTTCGTATTTCATTTACTTTTATAATGATCGTAGTTGATCATCACTGTAAAAGTGATTTTCCTTATCTATGCTACTTTTATTAAAAATTGTATCACTATGCATATAAAAGTTTTAAAGTCTTATTTTGATGAACTCATGACATAACTTATGATGTACAAATTAAAGTGTATGTCACATATAAAACGTTATAAATCAACATTTTAGATCAACATCTTAATAAAGCATAAGGAATAAGAAAATAAGAAATATCATAATAAAAACACCATGATATAATTACACAGTACATTTAAGAAGATAACAAGCATAAAATAATCTGTCAAAATATAATTAAATATATACTTTAAGAGAAGGAATGAACACAGACCTTAATTCCTTAAGCTTTAATTTTGATTAGACTTTCTCCTCATTGTCTCCGATCCCTACTCCCGCTTTTCCCTCACCCTTTTTACCCCATTTCCTTTTCTTGCAGCTCCCTTTTTACTCCAGAAGGCTCAATCGATCCCTTCACTACCTCTCTATTACTTCTACCTTATTTATACATTGTTGTTTTTAATAGTAGGCATTAATGGTTTATTCATGATCTTAATTATACTACGCATGAGAACACCTCTTGTGCATGTCTGCGTGTGTATTTATTTATACTTGCCTAGGCTATCTTGTTCTCTTTTGCATGCATGCATGTAGTGTGCCGAGTGGCATAGAAATTTTGTTCGTACATGCATGTCATTATACATATGGAGTGCATATAAAATGGCCAGTTGTTGCTTTCTGCATTGAGCATTCGGCCACAAGTCATATATATGTATAGGTCAAATGTAAAATTAACTAACTTTATATACACATATTACGTACATATATATAGACTTCTAATTTCACTTACTATTTCGATTTAATTAGGTATAAAATAGGTCACACCATTTGACACTATTATATTAACCCACTTAACTATGAATTATTTTTCTAAACTTTTCTTTGTTTGTTAAATTGATCCAATTCGGTTTTACACGTAAGTTACTTTAATAAAGCTAAAACACCTTTTAAACGAAATATAGATTTTCCGTTTTTTTTTTTAATTCATTTATGTTTTCACTTTTACTTTCGAGTTTCAAAATGTGTAAATTTTGTGTAAATTTTGAGGATGTTACAATAATCCTGCCGGACAGCCTTCGGTATCCTGGAGGAAAAAGGTTCCAATCCGGTATTTTTTCCAGACCCGGTATGGTCCCTCCCAATTCTTCGACATTTTCCCGCCCTCTAGCGGTTTGCTTTTCTCTCTCTTCCTTAGGACAAGGTCTCCAACTTCAATCGAACGGATCTTAGCCTGTTTATCCACATATCTCTTTGTCGCGCGGTGATATTCTTCCATTCGTAAAGCTGAGAGGTCCCTTCTTTCCTCTATGAAGTGGAGTTCAGCACGCATACTGTCCTCATTTCGCTCAGGATCATAGTGGATGTTCCTGTGAGTGGGCACCAAGACTTCAGTTGGGACCTTAGCCTGAAAACCGTATGCAAGGGCGAACAGTGTCTCCCCAGTTGCTGTTCGGGGCGTTGTCATGTATGTCCACAAGACGTAATTTAGCTGTTCGGGCCAGGTTGAAGCATAATCCTCGAGTTTCTTCTTTATGCCATCCATGATGGTCCTGTTCATATTCTCCACCTGCCCGTTCGCCTGCGGATATGCTACAGAAGCTCTTGAATGCTTAATTCCCCATTTGGTGAGGAATTCTTCGAAGTTCTTGCTTACGAACCGCCGTCCATTATCCGTGATGACCTGCTCGGGGAGTCCGAACCTGCATATAATATTTTGCCAAACAAAACGTTGACATTGAAAATCCGTGATACTGGCCAGGGGTTCGGCTTCCACCCATTTGGTGAAGTAATCAATCCCCACTATGATGTACTTCCTTCCTCCGGACGCATTAGGTAGGGGCCCCAGCAAGTCGATCCCCCACCTAGCAAACAGTAATGATATGGTCATCGGGGTGTAAAAGGTTGCAGGCCGCCCAGGTACTGGTGCGTAAAGCTGACATATCTTGCACTTCCTTGTGTGCTCGAAACAGTCCTGCTGAATAGTTGGCCAATAGTACCCCTGCAAGATGATTTTTCTGGCCAGAGTCTTTGGTCCCTGATGGCTGGAGGAGATGCCTTCATGAATTTCTTCCATCACAGTAGCTGCCTGAACAGGGGGGAAGGCATTTCAGATATGGCCCCCCGAACATCTTCTTATACAGTTGTCCGCCCACCAGTTCGAACATTGGGGCCCTTCGCTGTATACAAGTAAGGTTGTATATGTCATTTTTATCGTTCGGCAAGGTCCCATCCTTCAAGTAATTTGTCAAGTCAGTGACCCAGCTTGGGACGACATAGGATATGGCATCTACTTGAAGGATCATTGTCGCTGGTGTGGTCAGTATTTCTCTCTGCGCAAATCTCTGGATATGTGCAGGAATGCCTGGGGCGTGATCATCTCGAACGGCACATTCTAGCTTAGATAGGATATCCGCCTCGCTGTTTTCAATTCTGGGAACCTGGTCAAGCACTACTTGTTCGAATCTGCCGATTTCTTCCTCAACCAGTTCCTTGTAGGCTTTTAGCCGTTCTTCCCTGACTTCAGCTGATCCATTAATCTGGCTTACCACCAGCTGACTATCCGAACGAACTTTTAATCTGCTGGCCCCTAGGGCCTTGGCATACTTCAATCCTGCAATAAGGGCTTCATACTCGGCCTCATTATTGGTTACCTTGAATTCAAACTGTACAGAGTAGTATGCCTTGAATCCCTCGGGGCATGTGATCACAGCACCTCCACCACAGCCTTTGCTACTGGATGCTCCATCCACATACATTTCCCACCAATGGTCATGCACTTCCCCGTCTGTTCCTTCTTCAGTTGATCTGGCAGTGCATTCGGCAATGAAGTCAGCCAAAGCCTGACCCTTGATCGTGGGGCGGGGTTTGAAGTCTATTTCATACTGCCCGATCAGGAGGGACCACTTGGTGATACGCCCACTTGCATAGGATTTCTTAGTATGGTGGCCAGGGGCTGGGTAGTGTAGATAGTGACTGGATGTGCCTGAAAATAAGGTGTCAGTCGCTTGATGGTAGCAATCAATGCTAAGATGGTCTTTTCCATCAAGGTGTACCTGGTTTCTGGCCCGTTCAGGGCTTTGCTCACAAAGTAAATAGGGCGCTGAACACCTTCATCTTCTTTCAACAAGACCGAGATGACCGCCAGATCAGCTACAGCCAGATACATATACAGATGTTCCCCTGGGTCCGCTTTAGTCAAGACAAGGGGGGAAGATAAGTATAACTTGAATTCTTCAAACGCTGCCTGACATTCTGCTGTCCACTCGAACGGATTGGCCTTCTTCATTATTTGAAAGAATGGAATGGCACGATCGGCCAGTTTAGCCATAAATCTGCTCAGGGCTGCTAATCTTCCGGTCAGCTTCTGAACTTCTTTCAAGTTCCGCGGTGCCTCCATGTGTCACGCCCCAGACCGCAATCCAAGCGCGTGTACAACCGCCGTGAAATCAAGTGATGTCACCCGCGAGTCAACCTCACTTGATTACACAAGGCGTTCGAGAAAAATAATCCATCCATACTCAGTAGTAAACATACATAACAACATCACATTTAAACCAATGAATAGCGGAAATATTCAACGGTAAGTCATAAGCCACAACCGGCCAATAACATGGGCATGCAAGCCCCAAAAGAATAGTTTATAACAAATAAAAATATCCATGAGCAATGTTTGGTAATTTGAAATAAAATGAGGAAGCACGAACCACGTCTTCCTTGATTTGATGTCACCCGTAGAAAGGTGCAGGTAGCAAGCCCTAGCTTCAACCTGAGAATGGTGGGGCCCCCCGAAGGGGTCAGTACAAGTACCGAGCGAGTAGCAGGCTAAATATAGAATAACTAGCGTTTCAAGTATAGGACCCAAACATAGGATGATACATATACGTATAGTCCTTCCCCCAAGTTTGAAATACATATTAGTATGCATACACTTGGAAATACCCGACCCGTAGGTCATTGTTTATTTGGGAAAAATAATAGTAGCCAATATCCTTGACTTAAATCCCAACCCACCCATATACCTATGAGTGTATAGAACTCCTCCTCGTTCAAATAAATTATCATAAGGACACCGTCCGGTCCTAGATCATTAAATGTAGTCTATGAGTTTTGAGGATACACGCCCGATCCTTGGGTACTCCACCCTATAACCGAGTTTTGAGGATAACCGCCCGATCCTTGGGTACTCCACCCTATATAACCGAGTTTTGAGGATAACCGCCCGATCCTTGGGTACTCCACCCTATATAACCGAGTTTTGAGGATAACCGCCCGATCCTTGGGTACTCCACCCTATATAACCGAGTTTTGAGGATAACCGCCCGATCCTTGGGTACTCCACCCTATATAACCGAGTTTTGAGGATAACCGCCCGATCCTTGGGTACTCCACCCTATATAACCGAGTTTTGAGGATAACCGCCCGATCCTTGGGTACTCCACCCGACCTATGACTTACCACATATCACACTAGATAGGGTCTATATCATATTTAGCCATTCATAACTAATCCAATACATAAAACTTATGTATCACATTCCATGCAAAGCCATGCAATTATGTAAATGTACAATTAATTAATATCGACCGGTATTAATTAATCCATTATCCACCGGTCAACGTGGTCGTTGACCGCCATTTCAAACCTTGTACAAATCAACTTAATCATCGCATAATTAAGTTACAATATTCATTTGTGCTTCTAATACACTTCAAGCAAATATGCATTTTATATAATTCTTCATATCATATTCTATGCATAAACAATCTATTTCTTTCATACAAACTTAACCCTATTGGCTAATCACATGTTTAAATATCTTTTAAACATCATTATGAATTCATATAACATTTATTTAGGTAATCTTATAATTAACCCAAAAGTTATAAGATATTAAGCCGTCCACTCACCTTGAACTAGCGTTATGAAGTTCTACCCTTCTTGGTTGAACTCCGGTGAAACTCCAGCGACTTTTGGTCAACTCCGGCGACAACTCCGGCGACTTTTCCAACTTTGTGAAATCACTTGAAATACCTTTCACAAGTCCCTAACAAGGTTTTATAATCATAAAACCCATATTAATACAAATAACCTCAAAAAGGTTATTTTCCGGTGAACCGGTCGTTTTGGCTTCTAAGTCCGTTCTTGGACGTAGAACCACCTTTCAACCCCCAAATCCATACTTATAATATGTGGAACCATAATAAGGGTCCTTCATGTGATATATATCCCATATTGTAAAGGAAAAATAGAGGGAAAGTTATAATAAGATCATTACCTTAATTATTCACACTTTTCCCAACTTTTTCTCTCTTTAATCTTCCTCTTTTGGACCTTCCTTCCCTGAGCTCGTATCCAGCTATGGAAGATGAATATTTGCAGAGTTTTTCCTCTCAAATGGGGTGCTTGGGCGTGGTGGATGATTGGGGTGAGTGAGAATGGTTCATTTTGTCTTAATTGGCAAATAAATGAGGGTGGGGGGTCCTCCTAGGTACTTTAGATGCCAAAACTATCTCCTCAACTCCCTCTCTTGTCTATCCAGCTCCCCTTGGTTAATTAGAGCACACAAAAACGTGGGGTGGCCCCCACTCATGTGGGAGGCCATCCCCCTTGTGTCCCGGTGTGTACAATCGGTCCCGAAAGTTGTATTTTTCGGACTGTTTTAATCATAATTTATTTTATCGGGTAAAATAAAATATATTAAGTGTTCCCAATCACAATGCCCCTTTGAAATAATATATGTTCCAAAACATTAATTTAGAAGTCTCCGAAATTCATTTCTGAGCTGTTATCTGTTAATTTGTCGGTACCGGTAATTGGGCTTCTTTTGACCAATCGGTCAACTCTGGGCCTTTCCATGACCCAAATAAAATATCCACCACCATATAAATATTATTTCAACCCATAAGAATAATTTATGTGACCTTGGGAATATCGGGCGGCCCCCGCTCCCGGTGTGGGTCCCACGTGCAATTTACTATTCACGCGAAAGAATTAATAAAAATTTACAATTTCGTAAATTCATTAATCCTTTAATAAGGTTCAATACATTATTTACATAAAAGTAAATATGTTTGGGGACGGTGTTACAAGTTCACCCCCCCTTATTTGGGATTTCGTCCCCGAAATCCAAGTGTCTAATCGAAATGAAATGGGTATTGCTCCCTCATTGAGACCTCGGTCTCCCAAGTTTCTTCTTCAACTCGATCACTCCTCCAAAGAACCTTTACCATAGGAATCTCCTTATTCCTCAATTTCTTCACTTGTTGACCAACAATCTTCCCTGGTTCAACCGCATATTGCAAGTCCTCACGGATCTCTACCGGTGGTTTCTCAAGAGTATGAGATGGGTCTCGTATGTACTTCTTGAGCATTGATACATGAAACACGTCATGTATCTTCTCAAGTTCAGGCGTCAATTTGAGACGGTAAGCCACGGCCCTGATCCTTTCAAGGATCTCAAACGGACCTATGTATCGGGGGTTAAGCTTTCCCCTCGATACAAATCGAATGATGCCCTTCCAAGGAGAAATCCTTAGAAAAACCTTATCACCGACTTCGAATTCCAACGGTCTCCGCCGTTTATCAGCATAACTCTTCTGTCGGTCCTGAGCAGCCTTCAGTCTCTCTTGAATGGTCCTCACTTTAGCCTTGGTGATCTCGACCAGTTCTATTCCTTCGAGTTTGGCCTCGCCAACCTCGTCCCAACACAATGGTGTTCTGCATTTCCTCCCATACAATGCCTCATATGGAGGCATGCCGATACTTGCTTGATAACTGTTGTTATAAGCAAACTCCACTAGGGCCAAATGCTTGTCCCAACTCCCTTGGAACTCCAGCGCACATGCCCTAAGCCTGTCTTCCAAAATCTGTATCACCCGTTCGGACTGTCCATCCGTCTGCGGGTGAAAAGCTGTGCTAAACTTCAGTTTAGTGCCCAACGATGCTTGAAACTTTGGCCAAAATCGGGATGTGAACCGTGGATCCCTATCCGAGACAATGGATATTGGGACTCCATGTAATCTCACAATCTCCTCCGTGTATAGCTTGGCTAATCTTTCAAGAGGATAAGTAATGTTGATAGTCAAAAAGTGTGCACTCTTGGTGAGCCTATCAACCACTACCCAAACTGCATCATAGTTGTTCACTGTTCGTGGTAGCCACACCACGAAGTCCATGGTCACGTTCTCCCACTTCCACTCTGGGATGGTGAGTGGCTGCAAAAGCCCTGCCGGGTGCTGATGTTCTGCCTTAACTTGCTGGCAAGTAAGGCATCGACTCACATACTCTGCGATGTCTCTCTTCATACCTGACCACCAGTAACTTTCCTTCAAATCTCGGCACATTTTTGTACCTCCTGGATGCATAGCATAAGCTGAAGAATGAGCCTCCTCAAGTATAGACTTCTGGAGGTCTTCATTCTTTGGTATGCACACACGATCCTTAAACAATAATATACCGTCATCAAGTACTAGAAAGTTCTCAACAGGCCCCTCAATGATTCGTTCACGAATCTTCTGACACTCCTCGTCAATGGCCTGACATCTACTGATCTCACCCAGCAATGTAGGTCTGACCTCAAACCTAGCAATGAGCGCCCCGCCCGTGGATACCCCCACGTGTGCCCTCAATGCCTGTAGACATGTGAGTAGCGTCCCCGACGTACTCTTTCTGCTCAGTGCGTCGGCCACTACATTGGCCTTTCCGGGATGATAGTCGATGATCAAGTCATAGTCCTTGATCAACTCCATCCATCTCCTCTGCCTCATATTCAACTCTTTCTGAGTGAATACATACTTCAAGCTCTTATGATCAGTATAAATGTGACACGTCTCCCCGTAGAGATAATGCCTCCAAATCTTCAATGCAAACACTACCGCCCCCAACTCTAGATCGTGAGTAGGGTAGTTCACCTCGTGTTTCCTCAATTGCCTAGAAGCATAGGCAATCACCTTACCGTTTTGCATTAGTACACATCCAAGCCCTTGGATGCTAGCATCGCTGTAGATGTCATACCCTATCCCTTGTATGGGTAGGGCAAGGACAGGTGCCTCGGTAAGTCGTTTCTTCAATTCAAGGAACCCCTTCTCGCACTTGTCGTCCCATATGAACTTGGCCCCCTTCTTTGTGAGCTTCGTTAATGGAGACGCCAATACGGAGAATTTTTCAACAAATTTACGATAGTATCCCGCTAAGCCAAGGAAACTACGTATTTCCTTCGCATTCCGGGGTCTCTCCCAATCCATGATCGCTTTTATCTTGGTGTTATCCACAGCAACACCTGAACCGGATATGACATGACCGAGGAAACCAATCTCTTTGAGCCAAAATTCGCATTTAGAGAACTTGGCGAAGAGTTGCTTTTCCCTTAGCCAATCAAGTACAAGCCTCAAATGATGTTCGTGCTCTTCCTCGCTCTTGGAGTATATCAAGATGTCATCAATGAATACTATCACAAATTGATCTAAGTATTCACTAAACACACGATTCATCAAGTCCATGAATGCCGCCGGTGCGTTAGTTAAACCAAACGACATCACAAGGAACTCGTAATGACCATATCTAGTGCGAAATGCACTCTTAGGTATGTCGCTCTCCTTGATCTTCAACTGATGATACCCCGACCTCAAGTCAATCTTCGAGAACACTTTTGCCCCTCGAAGTTGATCGAACAAGTCATCAATCCTCGGTAAGGGATACCTGTTCTTGATGGTGACCTTGTTCAATTGTCGGTAGTCGATACACATTCTTAGTGTACCATCTTTCTTTTTTTTACGAAGAGTACGGGTGCTCCCCACGGTGAATGACTGGGTCTGATGAACCCGTTGTCCAATAGTTCTTGTAGTTGGACCTTCAACTCTTTGAGTTCGGCCGGCACCATTCGATAAGGAGGAATCGAAATGGGTTTGGTTCCCGGCTCCACTTCAATTACAAATTCAATCTCTCTATCGGGTGGAAGCCCCGGTAGGTCCTTGGGAAAGACGTCCGGGTACTTGCACACGACTCGAACATCCTTGATGTCGACTTCTTTCTTCGTATCATCCACCACGTAAGCAAGGTATGCGTGGCATCCCTTCCTCATCATCTTTCGTGCTCTCATCACGGATATGATACGAGCATTAGACTCCCCCCGATCTCCTTCAAAACGTAGCATATTCCCTTGATCATCCTCAAGCTCCAACACCTTGGTGTAGCAATCTACTCGAGCATGGTGCTTCTCAAGCCAATCCATTCCTAGGATTGCATCGAACTCCAACATGCTTAGAGGTACGAAATCACAAGTCAAGGGTTGACCCGTCACTTCCACCTCACATGATGGATAGTAATAATTTCTCTCCACATCGTCTCCTAACGGTGTGGAGACTAGCAACGTTTGCGTCATAGGTGTCAATGGCACGTCGAGGCCCTCGGCGAACGCCTCACTCACAAATGAGCGTTGTGCCCCGGTATCGATGAGGATCCTCGCACACCTACCATTGATCTTTAATGTTCCTACATTTATACACCATGTAAGATACATTTTCTAATGTTTTTACACATCATTAAGATGTTATTAGGTTCATACTAATGTTTGGGATCAAACGGGGGTCCAAACGTAGAAGAACGGGGCGAAAAAATCAAGTTTCGGGTGCCAGGGGTCCACGCACGGCGTGCGTAGGGGGTACGCACGGTCGTGCGTACCTTGCCTTCCCAATGGAGGCTACTGCCCCCAACGCACGGAGGGACGCACGGGCAACGCACGGCCGGGCGTGCAGCGATTTCCTCCGGGGTGCTACTGCCACCAACGCACGGAGGTACGCACGGGCAACGCACGGCCGGGCGTGCAGCGATTTCCTCCGGGGTGCTACTGCCACCAACGCACGGAGGTACGCACGGGCAACGCACGGCCGTGCGTGCAGCCCAGCCTGTAGTGCGTTGGCAGAAATCAGCCCGATTTCGCCCAATTTCACCCAATTTCGCTCTGTTTGATCCCGGGGTGGCCCGAACTCAACCCCCAACGATGTATATGATCAAAATAAGCCTAGAAATACATGGAAATAAGTGTATTACCTGTGACGGAGTCCGGGTTTGCCCGCGCATCCGCCTCGGTCATCGCGTAGTCTCGTGCTTGGGCCCCGCCTTGATTGACGGACGTAGCGTTGCTCGCCGTTGGTTCCGTATGGTTTCCTTCCACGGTGAGCCCTTCCTTGGCTTGTGATGTCTCTTGTTGCCTCCTCCATGGGCAACTTAATTTCATGTGGGTTGAGCTCCCACATTCGTAGCACATTGGGGGCTCGTTGCACTTTCCGAAATGTTTCTTAGAGCAATTCGAACATTTGGATGGTCTGAAAGAGTAAGGAAAGGACGTATGCCACCTTGAGGTCCTTTTCTTTTTCACCGGTGATGCCGGTGCCGTAAGAGTGCTTTCTCCTCCTTGGTCGTTTGCCCAAGGATGGGATTGGCTGACAGTCATATCACGTTGGGAGGTGGCCCGATCTCGCCTCGCCTGACGCCTACGTTCGTTCCTCCTGGTGTTCATGTTACACATCGAGCCCACTTGATTAGCGCTTGCCGCTTGGCGGCCCTCACGGCCCCCATGGCCTATTCCTCTCCCCGTAAAGGCTCGTGACACAGCTCGGCTAGCCTCAAGGTAAGCTACCGACGCTTGTCCCTTAGGGTCATTTCTTGTTGCCATTCGCTAATTACCCTCCATTTCTGAAACGGAATTTGGACGAGTCTTTAGACTCCTATGAATGTCAATTGACGGAAAAACGTTATAGACACGTATTGACCCAAGTCACCACCATACCAATTGTTAAGGGTACCGTCTTAACAATTAGAGGCCTTGAAACTTAAGCACCAATAGTCCTATAAGCGTCAAAATACAATGCTCATGGTTTTCGGTAAAAACTCTTTTGTAAAATCTTTTGTGAAAGGTTGATTATATAGTTTAGAACTGAGATGGCTCTGATACCACTTAATTGTCACGCCCCAGACCGCAATCCAAGCGCGTGTACAACCGCCGTGAAATCAAGTGATGTCACCCGCGAGTCAACCTCACTTGATTACACAAGGCGTTCGAGAAAAATAATCCATCCATACTCAGTAGTAAACATACATAACAACATCACATTTAAACCAATGAATAGCGGAAATATTCAACGGTAAGTCATAAGCCACAACCGGCCAATAACAAGGGCATGCAAGCCCCAAAAGAATAGTTTATAACAAATAAAAATATCCATGAGCAATGTTTGGTAATTTGAAATAAAATGAGGAAGCACGAACCACGTCTTCCTTGATTTGATGTCACCCGTAGAAAGGTGCAGGTAGCAAGCCCTAGCTTCAACCTGAGAATGGTGGGGCCCCCCGAAGGGGTCAGTACAAGTACCGAGCGAGTAGCAGGCTAAATATAGAATAACTAGCGTTTCAAGTATAGGACCCAAACATAGGATGATACATATACGTATAGTCCTTCCCCCAAGTTTGAAATACATATTAGTATGCATACACTTGGAAATACCCGACCCGTAGGTCATTGTTTATTTGGGAAAAATAATAGTAGCCAATATTCTTGACTTAAATCCCAACCCACCCATATACCTATGAGTGTATAGAACTCCTCCTCGTTCAAATAAATTATCATAAGGACACCGTCCGGTCCTAGATAATTAAATGTAGTCTATGAGTTTTGAGGATACACGCCCGATCCTTGGGTACTCCACCCTATAACCGAGTTTTGAGGATAACCGCCCGATCCTTGGGTACTCCACCCTATATAACCGAGTTTTGAGGATAACCGCCCGATCCTTGGGTACTCCACCCTATATAACCGAGTTTTGAGGATAACCGCCCGATCCTTGGGTACTCCACCCTATATAACCGAGTTTTGAGGATAACCGCCCGATCCTTGGGTACTCCACCCTATATAACCGAGTTTTGAGGATAACCGCCCGATCCTTGGGTACTCCACCCGACCTATGACTTACCACATATCACACTAGATAGGGTCTATATCATATTTAGCCATTCATAACTAATCCAATACATAAAACTTATGTATCACATTCCATGCAAAGCCATGCAATTATGTAAATGTACAATTAATTAATATCGACCGGTATTAATTAATCCATTATCCACCGGTCAACGTGGTCGTTGACCGCCATTTCAAACCTTGTACAAATCAACTTAATCATCGCATAATTAAGTTACAATATTCATTTGTGCTTCTAATACACTTCAAGCAAATATGCATTTTATATAATTCTTCATATCATATTCTATGCATAAACAATCTATTTCTTTCATACAAACTTAACCCTATTGGCTAATCACATGTTTAAATATCTTTTAAACATCATTATGAATTCATATAACATTTATTTATGTAATCTTATAATTAACCCAAAAGTTATAAGATATTAAGCCGTCCACTCACCTTGAACTAGCGTTATGAAGTTCTACCCTTCTTGGTTGAACTCCGGTGAAACTCCAGCGACTTTTGGTCAACTCCGGCGACAACTCCGGCGACTTTTCCAACTTTGTGAAATCACTTGAAATACCTTTCACAAGTCCCTAACAAGGTTTTATAATCATAAAACCCATATTAATACAAATAACCTCAAAAAGGTTATTTTCCGGTGAACCGGTCGTTTTGGCTTCTAAGTCCGTTCTTGGACGTAGAACCACCTTTCAACCCCCAAATCCATACTTATAATATGTGGAACCATAATAAGGGTCCTTCATGTGATATATATCCCATATTGTAAAGGAAAAATAGAGGGAAAGTTATAATAAGATCATTACCTTAATTATTCACACTTTTCCCAACTTTTTCTCTCTTTAATCTTCCTCTTTTGGACCTTCCTTCCCTGAGCTCGTATCCAGCTATGGAAGATGAATATTTGCAGAGTTTTTCCTCTCAAATGGGGTGCTTGGGCGTGGTGGATGATTGGGGTGAGTGAGAATGGTTCATTTTGTCTTAATTGGCAAATAAATGAGGGTGGGGGGTCCTCCTAGGTACTTTAGATGCCAAAACTATCTCCTCAACTCCCTCTCTTGTCTATCCAGCTCCCCTTGGTTAATTAGAGCACACAAAAACGTGGGGTGGCCCCCACTCATGTGGGAGGCCATCCCCCTTGTGTCCCGGTGTGTACAATCGGTCCCGAAAGTTGTATTTTTCGGACTGTTTTAATCATAATTTATTTTATCGGGTAAAATAAAATATATTAAGTGTTCCCAATCACAATGCCCCTTTGAAATAATATATGTTCCAAAACATTAATTTAGAAGTCTCCGAAATTCATTTCTGAGCTGTTATCTGTTAATTTGTCGGTACCGGTAATTGGGCTTCTTTTGACCAATCGGTCAACTCTGGGCCTTTCCATGACCCAAATAAAATATCCACCACCATATAAATATTATTTCAACCCATAAGAATAATTTATGTGACCTTGGGAATATCGGGCGGCCCCCGCTCCCGGTGTGGGTCCCACGTGCAATTTACTATTCACGCGAAAGAATTAATAAAAATTTACAACTTCGTAAATTCATTAATCCTTTAATAAGGTTCAATACATTATTTACATAAAAGTAAATATGTTTGGGGACGGTGTTACACCATGTCCATGATTGCCTTTACCTTTTCAAGATTAGGCTCAATTCCCCGTTCGCTCATCATATAACCCAAAAATTTGCCCCCCTTGACTGCGAAGGCGCACTTTTTTGGATTCAGCCTCATGTTGGCCTTCTGCATGATCCCGAAGACCCTTTTCATGTCCCGGACATGATCCTCCTTCCTTCTGCTCTTGATCAGGATGTCATCCACATATGCCTCCATGGTTACTCCCAGCACTTCTTTGAAGAGCATGCCGATCATTCTCTGGAAGGTGGCTGTCTCGTCTACCAGCAGGTCTATTCGTGGAACAGGATAGGGGTCCATGGGGCAGGCTTTATTCAGATCGGAGTAGTCCACACACATTCTTCAAGTAGATCCTTTTGGAGCAAGGACCACATTAGCCAGCCATTCGACATGGATGACTGGTCTAATGTGCCTGATTCTCAGTAAGGTGGCTACCTCCTGCTTTGTGAATTCCCGCCGTTCGGCCGCCTGATATCTTTTCTTTTGTTGGACTGGCCTGGCATCAGGCCGAACGGCCAACTTGTGGCATATGAGGGCCGGATCAATCCCCGGCATGTCTTCGGGTCCCCGGGCAAATAGGACCTGGAATTTCTTCAGGACAACGATCACCCCTTCCCTGATTTCCCCTTCAAGGTCCACCCCGATCGCAATTTTTCGATCGGGAGGGGAATCAAGCTCGATGTACTCCAGGAGGGTGGCTGGTTCAGGGCGTCCTTCGAATTTTGTGCGCCGGGTCTGTACCTCAATGTTGTTTACCCATTGTCCCCGGGCAGTCATTTGTTTCAAAGCCTCCCTGTAGCACGTTTGGGCTATGGTAGGATCTGTTCGGGCCACTCCCACTCCAGTATCAGTTGGGAACTTGATGCATGAGTGTCGAACAGAAGCAATTGTCTCCAAATCTTCAAGCCCTGGACGGCCCAATATGGCGTTGTGGGCACATGCAATGTCCACCACTACAAAAGTCATCCGGACTGCTGCCCGGTGGGTTTCGTCACCAATTTCAACCAGAAGCTGGATGGTGCCCTCGGCCTCGATTACATTGCCGGTGAAGCTAGCCAGCGGTGTATTCAGCTTGGTCAGCTGATCCTTTTTCAGCTTCATCTTCTCCAACGTGTGTAAATACAGCACGTTCACACTACTCCCTGTGTCCATCAGAACTCGGCGGATCAAGGCATTGTCTATACACATACTCACCACTAGCTCGTCCCTGTGCGGACTTGGTGAGTTGGGTAGGTCAGCCACCCCGAACGTAATTGGCTCCAATCGGCCCTTCTTCGTGGGTGGTGCAGCTACAGTGGCGACATAGAGGCTGCGCTCAAATTTCTTACGTTCAGCGGCCGTATCCCCGGTCTCTCCTCCACCAAAGATGACTTTGATTTCCATCCTTGGCTTCTTCCCCGGATTCCCCGATCCCTCAGCCTCCTCTATAGGGGGGCGGTATGAATCATTACTTGGCTCTGCATCCTGCTGGACGTCCCGCTTCCAGCTATTAGATCGAGGAGGGCGTTGATTGGGGGAAGGGCTGTTCGGGTCGGTGCTAACATACTTCCTCAGGTAGCCTTTCTGGATCAGGTCCTCGATTGCCACATGTAGGGCGTGGCAATCCTTCGTGAGGTGTCCATTCCGCTTGTGGTATCTGCAGAAGGCATTTGGGGTAGGTCCCATCACGGGCCTTGTGTCAGTAGGGGGAGGAATGGCATTCTTTTCCAAATTAAAAACGACAGCTATTGACATGACTAGGGGGTGAAACGCGCACTCCTGCGGTGAGGTGCTGTAACCGCTGGTGCGGGCCCCAAACGTTCCGCCAGCCTTGTAGTGGGGGGCTGCAGGGCCGTTCGGTCCCTCATCCTGATTTCCTCTTCTAGGGACGCATGCCTCCTGGCCCTCTCCAACACCTCCGGGTAGTGGGTGCCCGGGTTCTTCTTGAGCTCCTTGTATAGTTCCCCGGTTTGGAGAGCATCTGTGAACAAGAGGATGGCGGTCTCGTCCGTCATGCTAGTGACCTTGAGGGTCTCGCTCCTCCATCTGATCAGGAAGTCGCTGACGGACTCCCTGGGTGCTTGCCTCACCGTGGTCATGTGACCAAAATGCACCTTTTGCTTGGTGCCAGAAGCGAACTGTGCCAGGAATAGAGTGGACAGTTCGGCGAAACTTCCGATTGATCCGGGCTGCAATGTCCCGAACCATTCTTGTGCAGCTCCCCGGAGGGTGCTGAAGAACAACCTGCAGATGGCCGCATCAGTAGCCCCAAGGAGCATGAGGCCTCCTTGGTAGCTCCTCAAGTGTGCCTCGGGGTCACCTACCCCATCATACGTGAGCCCGGCCGGGGGACGGCAGTCCCGGAGAATTTCTGCACTCATAATTTCCCATGTGAAGGGAGAAGTGATACCAACCCTAACTGGTGGGGTTTGTTGGGGCGTCCGGTTCACCTGCTCTCTGAGCTCAGTCATCTGTCTCCTCATTTCGGCCATTTCTTCGTCTTGGGCCGTTCGGGGAGTGTGTGGTATCATAGCGTCCACATACTCCGGCATTCTGTGCGGGGGAGGGGCAGCTGTATTTGCCCTCCGCCGAATGAAACGTTCCCCATCCCTCTGGACATACTGGAAATGTTGCCCAATGGGATCTACCATGGGGGTAGGTTCCCTGTATTCATCTCGAGGTGCGGACGGGGTTCGGCTGGTTGGTGGTGCGTACCTGGGGATGTTGGTCCTCCATTGATTTCCCCGATACTGCTGGGAATGTGCTGAGGCCGTGGTGGTCTCAGTGTCTTCCCCCTCGTCAAAGGATGACATATGACGGACAGGGGATAAGGGCTCATGAGTCCCGTCAGTATATCCCTGCTCCTGTTCATCCGCCATGCGTTGCATAGCCTCTGCCATCTCCCTCATCAACTGAGGGTTCCTCCTCACATCCGGAGGGATGATGCCCTCAAATTCCCGAGTGGCACTGCCACTGGCGTTTCCTTGCATGGACCATCCCTCAGAGGACCTGTTGCCTCCTCTGCCCCCGGATGTAGAACTCGGTGTTGCGGTTGTAATTCTAGCCATTTCCAAAAAATGGTACTTAGATCAAAGGTTTTGCTTGGGGCTTTTAGTAGAGTTTCCCACAGACGGCGCCAATGTTGAGGTTTATTCCCGAAGATCTGAAAGCCCAACACAAACTTTGGATATTGTAGGGATGTTGGGTTGGGTTGAAAAGCGTATAAAATATAAAACAGTGAGATTATCCAACTCAGGAGCTTACTTGTATTCAGTAATTATGCTATTACAATGGAACTACCCGAACGGTAGATGAGTATGAGAATACAAGGATAAGAGATGTAAATCTATTGCTAAGCTCTGAGTATTGAAATGCTAACCCTTTACAATGATCTAAACATGGGTATTTATACTAAAATGAGGATGGGTAAGGTGGACACGTGGTCGAATCTGGTAGGCTATCACCTCTGCCATGTAAGCACTCATGCCCCCACTTGTAGCCGCCATTATCCAGCATTAAATGCGGCCTCCACTTGATGATTGCACGTTCGGGTGAAGTGTTCGGTGTGTGGGACCCTGCCATAGATGTTATCTTGTTATGGAAGTATCCCGAACGCCGATCGGGATCTGGCCATTGGCACTTTGGCGTAATTGTTTCCTGAAATGTTCCAAGTAGAAGTTTTATCCCGAATGTTGTTCGGGAATTCTTTGGGCTGCCTTGGGCCTGCTGCTTCTTCCCGGACTTGGGCCTAGGGATATTGGGCCTGGACCTAATATCCCAACAACTGGTAAAACGGTTGGATTATCAAGACAATCATATACTTATATAATACTCCGTACTTTTGATAGCAGAAGGGTTTGAATGATGAAATTTGAAATATTGAAGAATATATTAGACCTTTTCCATCAATGAAGTATATATTTCGATTTGGATATAATGGATGACTTAGCTATTATTTGAGATACAAGTAACAACCATAATATCTAAGGCTTAGGCAGTCCATGCAATATTCGACGTAATTTTCTTCATGGGTCATCCGAAAACAGTGTCTCTGTGCTTTAGTACATGGGTAAGGTTGCATACATCCGACCTCCCCTTACCCCACCGTAGGTGGGAGCCTTTGCGCCTTTGCGGCACTGGGATGATGATGATGATGTGTTATACATAAACTTCTGTAGAATTCTACGTTCGATCGAATGTGATAAGTTCTAGTGAAACAAAATGAGTAAAAAAAATACAATCATTCCTCATAGAGGTAAATATCCAATAACTTGATAGCTAAAATGTATTAACTTTACCTTAAATCGTGATTCTGATGTTTTTCATATGTAAGTATTGAATGCAACATGTTT